GCGATTGATGTAAGACAAAGCTGTAGAGTTATCTACTCTGAGAAGAATGCTGGAGTTTGAAAGCTGCGCCGCAAAACACCGAAGAGCGTGGAAAACGGCTAGAAGTTCCAGATAATTAATATGGAACTGCTTCTCTTCTGGTGACCAAAATCCATGCGAACGTCCCCTGCTACATACAGCACCCCATCCTGTGAGGGAGGCGTCAGAGAAGATCTCAAGGGTGAAGAGACCTGATCTGATGGGATTCTCTTGAGATTTGTCCGCAAAAATGTTCTTCCACCAGTGGAGATCCTCCCTGATCAATGAAGGAAGAGACATTTGGGCCTCGAAGTCGCCTCCTGCGGACGTAAGGGCCAAAAATTTCACCCTTTCTAAAATTTTTGTGTGTAGCATGCCGTACTGAACGGCTGGGCAAACTGAAATCAAAGAGCCTATAAAACTGGCTAAATAGCGAATTTTACAACTGTCCCTGGTAAGAATATCCCAGGTCCTCTGGAATAATTTTTCCCTTCTGTCAGGGGGGATGGAGACTGTAAAAGATGTTGTATCAAAAAGAAATCCAAGGAAGCGACAAGATCTTGTTGGGCTGAAAACGCTCTTGCGTACGTTTATGAGAAAACCTAAAGATAACAGTAACTGCCTAGTTGCTCTGATATTCTTTCGGCATTGATTATACGATGGTGCTATGAGGAGAAAGTCGTCCAGATAGATCACCGAAGAGAAGCCCTTAACCCTGAGGAAATATGCGACTGGCCTTAAAATTTTAGTAAAGATGTAAGGAGCCGACGCCAGGCCAAAGGGTAGGACACGAAATTGGTAGAGTTGACCAAGAAAACGAAAGCGAAGGAATTTCCTATCGTTCTGGTGTACCGGAACGAGGAGGTACGCGTCCTCCAGATCAATGGAGGCAAGATAATCACCTGGAGAAATGAGGCGAATTACAGTCTTCCAGTCCTCCATCTTGAAATGCGGTGCATGAATAAACCGATTCAAGCCCTTCAGGTTGAGTATAAATCTGTAACCCCCAGAGGGTTTTTCAATTAGGAAAAAAGAGGACAAATATTGACCCTCGCAGTCCACAGTCGGCTCTATTGCTCCCTTAGTTAAAAGTCTGGCAATCTCCTGGGAACAGCGCTGCTCCTCGAAGTAGGTTAAGAGAACAGAAGGTTCTCTAGTCTGAGAGGGTGGTTGCTGGATGAAGGGTAGCCTATACCCCGAAATGGCTTGTAAAATCCTTGAATTCGAAGTAATTGTTTCCCATTGGGATCGAAAACGGGCCAATCTGCCGCCCACAATTACCTCAGCGTTGACTAGTGTCTCCTCGACCTCGAATGAGACCTGGGATAGTACGGACGGCGATTTGTGCTCGCCCCTGGCCTCCTGGATGCCGTCCTCGAGCGAGGCACAGGGGCTCGGGCATTTCCCGAACTAGACGGCGCTGCACGTACTGGCTGAGAGATCGGCTGCTGAAGCCGTCTGGATATCTGCAACGGGGCTCTGATGATTTCCTTAGATGATTTCTGCATTGCTGCAACCTTCTTTATTTGATCTCCGAAGGAGGTTCCGAAGAGGAGTTCATCCGAAGGGATAGCATTCGCCGTGTCCTTGGCTGCGAGGTTAAGTGCGGGCATGATTTGTGCCCGTCTAGATTTAGACAATTGATGGAAAAGGTCAGCCAGGATTTTGGCACCATCGTTAACTTTAGCCACTGCTGAACGGACCTCCGGGGTGAGAGATGATTGATTGGTCGGGCAGAGAAAATCTGAAATAGCCTCGCCAAGGGCGCAAAGGGCTCTGCCAAGCTGTTCTTGATTTTTGCGGGCAAAATCATCCCTCTTGATAACAGAATTCCCTTTGAGAGCCACACTACATTCTTGATTTAATGCGGGGGCTTTGAGAAACGCCGCTGTTTCTGGGGGAGAGTATTTTTTAAAAAGTAGTTCACGTTGATCCGTGACTAGGCCAGAACGCGCGAGATCCTGCCACGTCTGGGTTACCATCTCGTTCCAGACAGAAACTTTCTCAATGTCTCGCTCTCCAAACAATTGTTTGGCCAGAGAGTCGGCGGTGACCTCGCCGGAGACAGAGATATCCGGGAGTGAGCTAGGCTGAAGCAAACCATGCTCAGGGCCTGCGGGGGGTAACTCCTCCTCACCTGCATCACTTACCACTGCAATAGACGTACGAAGTTGATGAGACTGTCTAGGAACGCAGGTTGTGTCGTCATGCCGCCTGTATTTCGCAAATACAGATCCAGCAGTATTCATACACACCTGATGGGTCCGCTGGCACCAGGGGTGCCTCGAGACTGATATCCGAGTTAGATCTCGAAAGAATGCGTGACCCTTGAATCATCTGCGGGGACGCAGAGACAATAGATTGTTGCGGGGGAGGGGCGACGGGGTGCCCTAATCTCACTTTGTGAGAGGATGTCAATTAGGCGTGACATTTTTTCCTCCAAACCCGCAATCTTATCTGCAGACGGTGACCTCCTTCTCTTTCTGGATCTGTGAGACGTCTTTCCCATCTCTGAAAAAGCAAGAAATCACACTATTGAGAACTAGAAAAAGTACGAGTTGAGGAATCGCACAACAGGAAAACAATGATGATCGTCAAGACAACGGGGCGCAGCCTGAGTGCAGGCAGGTGGCGCCCTTTTTGAATTTGTCTTCAAAACCTGTTGAGGATAGCGCAGCGGAACGCTACTACAATTATATCCATCCGGACGAGACCTTGCATAATCTTATCTTTTTAATATTTAGTTTTTTTGCGGACAAATTTAAGAGATAAGCATAAATTATTCATTAAAAATACGTGTTTATCGACTTGTTGAAAGACTGCTGCTGGAAACTCACGCAATTTTCGCGTTTTCCATTATCGCCAGGATCATCGGAGAACGTTCATGAACGTAGCTATTTATCTGCATATAAACTTGCATTTTATACATTGTGATAGTCGTATGTACGGCCGTGCGCCATTGTTCCTACTATTGTTGATCCGCGAAACACAATCCCCGCATTGCTCAAGTACGTAGCTTTCGCGTGGCCGTGTTTCATATGTATACACACATACACATATGCACAGGCACACGTAACGCGCGCGCGCGCGTGTATATTATCGCGTCCAGTAGCGAGGCAGTATCTAATTCGCGCTTTCGTGCTGAGCTTTAAAACCGTCCTCGCGATTGTGCAGAGGCGTCGGACATTGGCGGTGGCCGCACGTGGCGGCCCGCCGCCACGTGGGCCGGTCGCCTTCGCAAAGCCGCGCCGCGTATCTATCATAAGTTTTTGTACTCTCTTTCCTTTAGCGATTAGGCTTGCGTCACAGTTTGTTGGTGTGGTAAATAAACTGCATTTCTTTGTGATAACTCGTATTATTTATTTCCCTCTCAACCGTCCTCAGTATCAGCGTGATAACAAGCACAAAGTGTCGGATCCCACCTGCACATTATGTTCGTAATATTTCTTCTCTCTTTATTCTTTTTTTTTTAATTTATTTATTTGCTGTCACCTACCGTCCTGAGATCTTCCAATTTTCTGTTCTAATTCCCAATTTCTTGTTCAGTGTTCCCATTCACACGTGTATCACCATTGGATATCGTCGAACGGAATATGTACGAGAAAAATGCATATTTATTTATTGCACTAACAAATTGTACGTTTGCGCCAATATCGATCGGCGAACGCCGATGATCAGCGTGTAGAGACGGCGTGTTCAATTTTGCCATCCGTTTCGGAAATACTGCAAGCGGAATTGTTCATCATCGGAATATTTTTCAAAAGTGATTGTCATGCGCATTTATCGTGTACATCTTGAGTTCTTTTTATTTTGTTAATTTTTAATTAGAATTTTATTTTTTTTTACACGTATACAAATTTATGAATCTCATTATGTGATGTGAAATCTTGTCTTTCTAGTATTTAATTTTTCTAGTCTTAATAAATTTATGCAAAATGGATTATATTATAGTAAAAATCACTTTTGAAACTTTCTTCTGCATGATCCACAAAATTTTTATTAAAACACGACACGGTCATTTGCAAACAAGTTTTTTTCAGAACAAGTAGTACTTAAAATACAAATTTTTGTCAGAGAGCGATATTACGCGACATTTTTAAATCTACGATATCGCCTTTTTTGCACACCTCAAGATGCAAACATGCTCGTTTCGGTTGAAATATTGTCTCGAGGAGAAATTCAATTCTGTGCAGGTGGTAGAACACTGGATTAATTGCAAGTAGGTACTATGAGACACATCAGAGACCCAAATTTACGTTTTCAGATAACAAATGCGAACACATAAATCATTTTTCGGAAAATTTGCAACCAGCTAAGCGAATTCCGCGGGGAAATCTGCATTTTATGACAACCTGTGATTAACCCATTTTTCATCATGGATTCTAAAATGCACATTCCAATATTTTTGCAAATAATAGTTTGCTGTGAAAATCAACGTATCATTTATGATTAATATAATTAATTTTTAATTGGAGAAAAAATTAATGATATTTAATAATACACTTTTTAGCTGTAATAACACAAATAATAGCTACAATAATAATAAAAAATTTTGATCCATCTATAATATATAGATATCAGCTTTTTTTTATTATTTTTTTTATTTCAAATACAGATTACACTATCTTTCAAAGTGCACTAAAGATAGTCGGCTTTTCGTAATATTCACATAACGCCACGCAGTATTCTTAACACGTTGCGCACTCCTCGCCGCTCGAACGAATCGACGGTATCGAAACTTCACAGCCCCGACACAGCCGTTTGGGAGAAATGTAGAACCATCGATCCAAGCCGCAATCTGATCTACCAGTTTCGTAAACTGGAAACTTCTTACTTCGTGACACGTCGGTTCTACCGATGCACTGGGACCCGACCTAATACGACGAAATACGAACTTAGTTGGGGGTTCAGTGCAAAGTCATACAAACCAGGCGCGCGATAAACTATGTTTATACCAAAGTTTGCGGACATTCATGAACTTTCTCAAAATTCGAGCGAACCTACACAAACATTGTTTGACGCAATCCGAAAATTTCACATCGCGCAGTTCACCTCACGCAGTCCTAACTTCTCCGCGAGATGTTAATTACAGTTTAATATAACGAGATTTACACTGTCCCGGTTATTTGTGATTAATCAATAGTAATTATCTGCAAGAGCTGTTATAATTTGGGCGCGACTGAAATATTTTTCGACAGAATGTAAAGTCGAATGTAGAATCTTAACGCCAGAAGTATATTGGACGAAAGCAACAAAGGAGTTTAATGACATTTTCGGCATGTTTCGATAAAATAAGATGCAATAAAGAATAAAAAAATTTCAAATATAATACATTTTAAATTAAAGATACCGATTAGTTTCTGAAATTAAAAAAATTAAGCAAGATACAGTTTTAATTTTATTTATAAAAATTAGAACATTTTGCACTATACAATTCATGCAACTGACAACGCCGTATTTATAGCGCGGAGAAGTTGGAAAAGGTCAAAGGACTTTTTACAGTGCGTCTAGTGTTAAATAAAATTTAAAAAGTCTTGCTTAATTTGGTAAATATCAAAAAGCAATTGGCATTTTTAATTCAAAAACTTTTTAAATTATACGATACTGATTGTGAAAGAGTAACAGCTCTACTTCTTTGCTTATTGATAATAAAAGTGCTTAGAAAAGAATGATGTGCATGACATATGTACGTGCGAATCATAGTAAAACACTTATCTGCATATTCATCATAGTCATGTATACAGGATGTCTTACGAATCTGTGATAAAAAGTGCGACGCATCGGTGGCCGCCGATGATTGCGCTCATCCATGGAGCTGGAATCGAATTAGATCAGTGGCTGCTTCGTAAGCATATAGGTTTTTTTCAAATTAAGAGCAAAAAAACAAAAAACTCAAACCCGCAACATCCGATCCGATAAGTATAACGACATCTTCCACCATAAAACGCTCACTGACGACGAACGCTTCCGGCAAGTGTACAGACTACACATCAGACGCAATTAGCACGGAAATTAACTACACTGATCTCTCGCAGCTTATATTACATTATGTTGAATTAATATAATCAAGGTAATTTCATGTAATAATAATAATTATTATTATTATTTGTCGTCAAATAATATTTGTAACAATAATATTTGTAACAATGCTTACCTCGACGCAAGCGTGTAAAAGGAAACGCTTTAATTAGTTCGTATAGCGTTGTCTGTGTGTCTTTATTATTCGCCCTTTGTATATACTACCGCGAGATATTCAAGTTGACTGCTTAAAGACCGACATAACATAAAAATCTCATAAATTCCGACGTAACCTTCCGTACAATAATTGGAACGTAAGAATTTCATATAATGCGGACAACGCATAGAATATGCGGGCAATCAAATACAAATCTCACCCTCATAAGCTCAATCCCATAAACGAGATAGTTATACCGGCACAAAGTCTACCATTGTGTATATGAAAAGCAGTTAGCTCCTTAACCTCGTTACTTCGTTCCCCTCTGAACTCATTAACGTATGCAATTTACGACACGCCCGTATTATTGTGCCTTTTAAAACGTAATATACGCGCTCGCCTCAGCGCCGCATAAATCGCGTTTTATTCGAATACCGACATCGCGCGGAATAAGTTTAGTGTAATACGCTTGTGTAATTAATAAATGCGTCATTTGTTATATACGTATAAAGTGGCCTGGTGTATTGATTAAATTAGCGCAGCACTGAATTCACAAATACATAATAAATAAATATTTTCAGGGAAATTATTTCTTCCAATATCAAGTTGTTTTTTTTTTTCACAAAGCGATGTCGATAAATACTTCCGTTTTCCGCAAATATGCAATGAAATTAATAAGCCGCTGGTAAATATAATTAACGTAATAAAAATTGCGATGTACACGCGCGAGGCATTTTTCTTCAAATTCTTTTACAAATATATTGCATATATGTATTGTCCGCCTGTGTTCGCCGATAAGTGTTTTCATTACACGATGTTCTCTATACTTGCTTGCACCGCAGCCTGCGCTCGCATGCACCCGATGCGAGTCTCGCTCGAAAATACAACCGCAGATACCACTCACAATGAGTATCATTTTTCCGCCTGCGTGCCGAGATCGAGGCACACACTCTCTTTCGACCCTCTGATGTTCAGGGTATGCGATTACCCGAAACCTACTCGAATTCAACTTGAACAATCGCGGTCCAGATCGAGGAGGAAAGCACTCGAGGGTAGCACTCGAAAATGCCGTAAAAGCAAACTACGCGAAAATTCAGCGGAACAAACATAAGCGCAGCGCTCGGGATCATTAGCTAGTATTTCGGAAATTCGGGAGAAGTTTCGGTAACGCACCGTTTGCAAAAGTACATTAATGAAATATATCAGGAAACGTTGTAATAGAAAAGTAAAACTTTATTGTTGTTCTAATGTTTTTATAATTAATAAGATTATTATTAATTTATATTAATTAATAATTTAATTTTTTTATTAATTAACAACGAGCCCATTATGCTTCTCTGTAGACAGTTCGTATATCTAACAATTACATAACGCATTAAGATAAGATGGAAATACATTGCTCTTTGCATCGCTGCTTGATCATGCTGTTATAATTTATAGTAATTGTTACTCGTCGATGTAATTGTTAGATTAAATGCATCAGATGGAATTACTTGCTCTCGTAGAAATAATTTTATATCGCAAAGAAGGATATTTTTTACAGAATTTTCAAAAATAGTTTTGGAAGTGCTTAAAATATCCGAAGAAATAACTAATTTAAATTCCATTTGTTCGAAACAATCACAAATATTTAATTTTAATATCTCTCAAAAATTTAATATCTCTCGCGCGCGTGTGAGATTGCTTTTTCAAAAGACCGGATGGTTCTAAAACCGGAGAGTTCTCTTTTCATATAATAAACTTTGAAAAATTAAAGTAATTCTATCTCGCAGTTTTATAAAGAAAATAAACTTTGACACACAGTGCGAACTAATCGCACCGTCTCGCTAATGTTCCAGATTCCTGAACAAGAGCAGGAGCCAGGCAGCGATGACGGCGACGCGCGAGCGGGAACGTGAACGCGAGCGCGAACGCGAGCGCGAGCGCGAACGCGAACGGGACCGCGAGCGAGACGTGGACGCGGAGATCGACTCGCCGCTGTCGGCGAGATCCCGCTACGCCGCTCTAAAGGAGCGCCGGCAGCGTCTGGCTCGCTCCAGGAGCTCGCACAACTTCGGCGGCGACGACCTCGACCTGGACGAGGAACCACCGTCGCCGACGACCCAGTCGCCGAATGCCTACTTGGCGGCCAAGTACGGCGCCGGCTCGGAGCTGGCGCGGAGTCGCAGCACCCACGCCTTGAAATCGCGCGAACCGAGCCCGGAGCGCGATCGACCGGGCACGGAGAAGGACGGCGCGGCACTAAGCTCCTGGGCCAGGTACTTGAAGAACAAGTACGGCAACCGCACCACCAAGGACAAGGAACCGCCCTCCTCGTCTTCCACGATACCTTCGTCCAGGTGAGACTCACTCGCGCGCGATGTAACAAATGAACGAACCGAGGCAGCGTTTAAAGAAACGCGGCTCCAATTATCAAGATTTATCGCAGTTATGACATTATTGTAATCGTTGAAATGACAAAATCCACACGTGCCTTGGCAACTACATTAATTAATTGTATATTTTCCATATAATGAGTACAAATTGCGTGCCGCATTACAAATAGTGCGACACGCAATTACGTACCGGCACCAATAAGCTTTAATCGCATCGTTGTATGCACAATGGTTCGGAACATTATACGCGCATTTGAATCGATGCAGCTATTACTGACACAGCAGATATTTATTGCATATTGCGTCGATGCACGAGGTGCAAAGCGCTATTTTCATCTTGCGAGATGCAAGATACCCGAAATAGGACTTTCCCCACGCGATTACGCAATCATTGATTCACCATTGCACAGCGCGCGTTGCGTTAATTGTTGATTCTAATTTTTGCAGCACCAGCGCGGCCTCGAGAAGGCTATCATTGGGCTTGCCTCTCAGGCACACCGGGCAAACATCCTTCGAATCCTCTGACGACGACCAAAAAACCCGTCAGGCTCCCCCACGTCCCCTACAGCAGCTCCCGTTATACCCGCGGCAGCAGGTTCCTCCACTAGGTGAGTTTTTGTCGACACTACACCTTCATGCTAGAAAGAAATCTCTTTCGATACAAGATGTGTAAAAAGAATTGAACAACTTTGGAAATATAATTCTAACGCTCTTAATTTTTTTCTTAACGCAAAATCTTGCAACGAAATAATTTATCTCATCGCGGAATTAAATTGACTTGGGAAGCAGTTGAATGCAAAGCTCCAAGTTTTGCTTCCATCCGCCCGTTCAATGCCGGAGACAGGTTTTGTACTTTGAAACGAGAACGCGATGCACTCCTCGCTGAACGTATGACTTCCCAAATATTCCGCGGACAAGTGCATTCGAACCGGAGGAAGTCGCATGCGGCGTAGAGTCGGCCATCGCAATCAAAACACTTTATCCTCGTTATCCGTTGCGTCGCTGGTACAGCCGAGAGACTTCTCCTCTCGCGCAGCCATAATTCTCGAAGATCTACCGCTGTTTCCACTGGAGTGAAACATCGTCCCTCGTGAAAAGTGGATTTACGAAAAACATTCTTTCAAGAACGCGCAATGAAGATACAGAGTCCACTATATACAAGTTTGTCTCTCTTTTTTTTTCTCCCCCGGCTGCGTTTACTCGGCAAAACTTTCCTTAATTCAATAGAATCTTAGGTTCGGATGACGAATAACGGCATTTATCACGTAAATGTTCGCGCGTAGCCGCGTGATTAACTGCGTGACTGATTACAGTGACGTGAGTGCGCGGGAGTCGGACAGATCGCGTAGTCGCGGAAGATTTATAACAAGCTTTATTGACCGTCTTATTAATCGCTTCCAGCAATGGTCGGAGGAGTCATTACTTGCTGAAGCGGCGGCAGCTGTTTAAGTTTGGGATGCGGGGGAGCGAAGCCGGATGCTTTACCTGGCCGAGAGGCCTCGCAGTCGGCCCGGACAACTCCATCGTCGTGGCCGACAGTTCCAACCATCGTGTTCAAGTAAGCCGCTTTTCCAAATCGCTCAAAATTAAATTTCAAAATTCGATTACATTTAATAACGTCAAACAAAAGACAATCGGATAAAGCGAACAACGCAATGACGTTCATTGATAAAGTCAACAAGTATAAGAAAAGTTAATAATTATTAAATTGATACAAAATTTTATCAACGCATTACAGTCCGCTACTGTTCTATTAAATAAAATGCACAAATATGTGCAGACTGTAATGTGTTAATAATTTTAAAAAAGTTTTTTTGCTAAACGCAATTTCTTGAAAAAATTAGAATAATAGAATTTAATATTGGCAACAAATACGCGCTTCGATAAATCAGCTACTCTTATAGCAGTCGCTCAAAGCAATAACAGTTAACTGTTATGTGCGCGTAAAACGGGAAGTATGAAGCCTTGAGGATTTCGCGGACGTCGTAGTATCGACGATCGTAAATAAGCCGGCCTCATTGCGCGCCGTTGCAAGGACGACGGAAAATTCCTCGTCCCGGTCGTTATTGCGGTCGGCCGCGAAGCCGATTTTAATATCAGCGCGCCGATCGATGTAAACGGCCTTGCGCCGCTGCGGTCCGCAGGTATTCGATGGTAATGGGAACTTCATGAAGGAGTTCGGTACATACGGCAGCGGCGAGGGCGAGTTCGATTGTCTCGCCGGGGTGGCCGTAAACAGGATCGGGCAGTACATCATTGCGGACCGTTACAATCACAGGATCCAGGTGCTCGATCCGTCCGGCCGTTTCCTGCGGGCCTTCGGCTCTCAAGGTACCGCCGACGGCCGGTTTAATTATCCCTGGGGCATCACCACCGACGCCCTGGGATTCATCTATGTATGCGACAAGGAGAATCATCGCGTGCAAGTAAGTGTTTGACCTATAAAGTTATATAACTTATATAATATAAGTTAAGCTATAAAGTTGATTGGATCAAGCGATGATGAATAACCAATTCGGGCGAAAATAATATTGGCAAAATCGAATAATCGAACGGAACGAGATTTTGCAAATAAGATTTCGGTTCTATTAAGCGCGATTGCCAAAAGCGTCGTATTCCGCGACACCGGCAATAACCGTTGCCTGACCACTCGAAATACTACCATTCACAGGTATTTCAATCGGATGGCACGTTCGTGGGCAAATTCGGCTCATGCGGCAGCGGACGCGGCCAATTAGAACACCCGCACTATATCGCGGTGAGCAACACCAACCGGGTGATTGTCAGCGATGGAAACAATCATCGCGTGCAGATATTCGACGTGAACGGCCGCGTGCTAACGTCTTTCGGCTCGGAGGGCTCGGACGACGGCCAATTCAAGTTTCCGCGTGGCGTCGCCGTGGACGACCAGGGCTATATCGTTGTTGCTGATTCTGGCAACAATCGCATACAGGTCTTTAGCCCGGAAGGCGCCTTCCTCAAGTCGTTCGGCTGCTGGGGCAGCGGTGACGGCGAGTTTAAAGGCCTCGAAGGCGTTGCGGTCACTTCCACCGGCAACATCGTTGTCTGCGACCGCGAGAATCATCGGGTCCAAGTATTCTGAGAGCTGGTCGTTTTCATCGCGTTTTATTTAACACTCGAGGAGCCGCGAGCCTTGCTATTTTACCAAACGACGTGTTCTAGTCAGCAATGTTCGCTATTAATATTGTTCACGATGAGCGAATATTCAGAAAATATCTCCCAATAATGTCACGTATTTGGAGAGTATTTAAATCGACGCTTACGAGTCCGAATGAACATCTGTGGAATATTTCTGGAAGTTTTAATAATCTTGAATATATTATTGTGACACATTTTTTATCTAAAATCTATGACTAACACTTAGGAAAAAGTTCAAAGTTAAAAATAAAACTTAAAAATAGAAAAAGTAAAATAAAATGTCAAAAATTATCTCGATATTTGGAAAGGTAAATTATTTTAATCTTATGTTGCTCACACAATAAGCAAAATGTCAATAATATTGGAAGATTGACAACAGATTTGCCGTTAATCTGTCAATATTGCTAAAATTTTACCATACAGGTATAATTTATCGTCTTAAAAAATATGCAAAAGTTGATATTACAAATCGGAGGGTTTTTCAATTTAGCAACTTTTTAGAGAGACATTTTGCAAAAACATTTTAATAATTGTCGATAAATCGGGAGTGAGATGTTATTATAGCTTGGTTAATTTATATATTAACATATTTTTTAATTGTCGGAAAACTTTTTAGTGAATCTTACAATGTTGAACATAATTATTTTCACTCTGTTTTATTCTTTGAAATTAACAAAAATCGCACTCAAAGTTTTTGTCTAATACAAAAAATATAAAAATTTTTATCATGAAGGAAAATTTTTTTCTTTTTATTTATTTATCCAAACATATTAAAATTTTTCATAGCAAAAATGACAACAACTATTCATTTCTTACTGCATCGTAAAGAATTAGAGATTGATTGATTAATGTAAAATTTTGAATTTAGTGTTTTTATTGGCGATTAATAATCAATATTAATAAAACTCATTGTTTGTATTTAATTTAATATTACATATTAATAATTTAATATTAATCTAATATTATTTTTACGCAAGCATCTACTACGAAGTGAATAATTTCAATAATTATTTATAAAATTTTAATAATTACCTTTTTTTTGTTTTTCTTGCTTTATGACTTCTCTATTCATTGTAGGACACGTAGCTGGTATTGACAAAATTGTTTCGAGAAGATTTCTCTCAAAATTCTCGTTTCTGATTCCGAAACACGTAGATGAACCAATATTCGTTTGTGGCTTACTGCTTTTTTCTCGATATAGGATAAAAGAAATATTGGAACAGACGAAATAGCTAAAAAAAAGCCTAAAAACAAACAAAATAGCACTCATATTTACAAGTACAACAAAAGAGGGAATGAAACGATACAACTACAAGCTGAAATTCATTTTTCTGATTAATAATAATACATAATTTTATATTTTCCAAATTTGTTGAGCAGAGATTCGATACAAACAAATATATAGTAGAATTTCATCGAGCACATTGAAACTTGTTGATGCTATTTCATTCCACTCATGCGTCCTCACGTCGTATATCGTATTTATCTGTTCATCATTCGTTATCTCACTCCCGTTATTTCTTCTATCTCTCCTTCTTGTACGCGTGCGATATTCGAGCGGCATAATTTAATTTGTACTCCAAATGACAGCAAATAAAGTTTGTACCGTTTGTATGCTTTAAAATAAATTCTTGCGGAAGGAAGAGATGGTGAGTGGGAAATCTTTCTAATTGCTTCTCTCGACTTCCGCATCATTCATTGCGACACATTATTCGTACGATCTATATCGAATCAATAATGCATCCGTTCGAACGGATAAAATATAGAGAAAGGATTATGACTTCTGCGCCATGAATAAGATCGTTAGATTTAGTGGTTCGTAAAGTTTCTAGTTCAGCACTCTACCTGATGAACAGTTTGGACTGGAAGTTTGTCTTAGCATCAATAGAAGCTCTACAAGCAACTTCAGCGACGTATCCTAAGATCATTATTTGCCTGGATATTCCTTAACTTGCCGTAATTGTGTTACTCTTCATATACCCCGGTCCAGACCCAACTACAATATCTAGCATTTATATTTAAGTTTGCTTCCAATCAGTCTTTTATTACAGATCGGGCAATCAAGCCGATTATGAACAATTATTACCGTGTTATTAATAAAATATCGCACGACTGCTGAAGCATCGGCTACTTGCGCACACAAGTTATTTCGTAAGAAGGATAAGTAAGGATGGAGGGCGGGCAAGAGAAAAGGTAAGTGAGTCAATAAATATATAATTTATTAAATGCAATGATGAAATGGTGTAACAATAGAGGGGCGGGCGAAACGACGACCGTGCTGGTCGCCGCGAAGGCGGACAAGAGATAATACGCCGCCCCCGCCCGGCGCTCCCCGGAGATCGGAAATATAGATAAAATATTTTCGTTATTATTTACAATATTAGTCGAACGTTAGTCAATAAATAATAAACGGTGGCGTAATCCCTTTATTTAATAATATAATTTAATTATATTTATATATATATTTATATATATATATATAATATTACGCTTGCGATAATAAAAATATTACAAGAGATGGAGCCTTCACCGTTATTCGTTTTCACTAGTAAAATCTAGCACGTACGTGCCACGTGTCTACGCGTCGTTTACGTTCCAAAATTTCCCGAGCGATCGACACTCGGACGCTTGATTCCTGATTTCTTTCGCCGCAGGACCACTGGCGAAGCAATTACGTAGCAACGCGGGGGGGGGGGGAGTCGCGCCGCCGTGCGATCGCCTGTTCTTTGGAACGCGGACACGTCAAGAGCGGACTGATGTCGAAACAGCCGTCGAAACCATCATCAACGTTTTCCGGGAGTGTATATCTCCCTATCGCGAAAAAACCGACGACGGGATTGAACAAAGAACGGCAAATCAGCTCGGTTTTCGACGTCCGCGAGCGGAGAAATGATTTTCGCAACGCGCCGGATTATCACAACGAAAGTACACGCGATATGCTTGGACGTTATCAATCGTCGAGCGGATTAGAAAGGCTGTGTGTGTGTGTGTGTGTGTGTATGTGTGGTGTGTTTCGTGTGCATGTGTTTTTTTTTTTTTCTTTTTCTTTTTTCGTGTGTGCGAAACGCCGCCACGCGAGACTAGGAGTTGCGTCGTGTGTAGAACGGACCAGGCAGGCAGCAAGCAGGTACAAAGTGACCGTCGCGACGAAGGAACAATGTGTCTCTGGGTCTCAATGATTCTGTGTCTCCTTGTTCTTTCGTGTGATTCTGTATTTATATTAATTCTGTGTGTATGTCTTCTGCGTCTGTGTTAATTTATACGTGTCCGTGTATTTTAGATATCATGTACGCGTCGTATCACGACTCCGTGCAGTTTCCTGTGTCTTCCTTCTGTACAAACGTGATAGGCACCGACCCGATCGTTTCGACCCTTTCGACATCGTGACGCGTGCAGCTACGCGCGTGTCAGGCGCCGCGTGTTCGCGCGATCGCGAGCCCGTCTGCCCCGCCGTGCCCCGTGGTCGCGCCGCGTTTGACAGGCAGGCACGCGCGATAAGCTCCGGGATGATCGTGCCAAGTTTCTCGTTTTTTTCTTTCTCTTTCTCTCTCTCTCTCTCTTTCTTTTTCTTTTTTTGTTTTGTAAAAAATATACGGAAAAGTTTCTGCGAGATATATGTCGGCGATGTCCGAAACCGTCGCCGGAAGCCACGCCGCTTCGGCGATCGCGATACGCTTTCTCGAGAACGACGATATCGCGCTTTTGCGACACGCCGAAGCGTGCTTCCGGCTCGCCCGCGAACGGCATTCGGACTCGCCCGCGCCATCCCCCGTGATTCCGGGGATGGGAGTCTCGTAGCACGATTTCACGGGTCGGGACGTAGCGAGATATCGGTGGGCTCGCGACGACGGAAAACCATCTCGGCGAACCTCGGCATGAACGCGCGTGTGTCTCGTGCGATTCTGGAGACTGGACAATTGGAAATATTTCGAATCTATAGCGCGAATCTCGATCGTTCCCGATTTTTTTTTTTTTGTTTTTGTTTAAGGAGAGAAGTTAGTTTTCTTTTTTTTTTTGTAATTTTAATCTTGCTTAATAGTCCGCTATTAATATCATCTACTGATTCGTCCTCTGCATCTAGAGAGTAGTTTGAAAAGTGGCATGAGATAGTGTGTGTGTGTTATAGGTTTCATTTATTTTTTTTTTCTTTTTATCATTTCCCATTTCTGTTGTATCGAGATTAAGTAATAAAGTTATATAATTAATTATTTAATTAATTAAAGTGGCAGCAGTTAGGCCATGCGGCTCCTATCATCTAGTCGTCTTTGACTCTTGGCTTTCTTACGTAGAATTTAAAAACTTTTTTTTTCTCCTTTACTTATTAAACTTCTTTATATTTTGAGAATAATTTGTATTAAATGACTTTTAAAGTTTATGTATTTCTTCGAAGCGCCTATCCTAGCGATGTCTTTTTAATTAAGATTATTTTTCTCAGCGGCCTTCTTCCTCTCTTTAACCCCTTCCTTCCCCGTCCGTCGCTCAACCTTTTCGCCTAATAAGTACCTCGCCTAGCTCGCCCGCGCTGTACGTGGTTACACGAATACGGAACACAACGGCGAAACTTGCGAAACTTGTCGCACGGTGTCGGCCATTCCCTGTCCGCCGTTCTGCGGGTAAAAAATACTGTATTCGACTTATGTTTGTGTGTGTGTTTCTCGCTGAAACCCCGGAAAAGCGACAGTGCACCTCGATGCGCACGATTGCACCAAGGATCTCGTCTATCGCCGAGACCGCGCGCGCGCACCGTATCGTCGAAAATCTTTTTTCTTCTCTTTTCTGTTTTTCCTTTTTCGTCTAAAATTTAAATCCTGATTGCCACGTACAATACGCGAGTTATCCGACTAGAAGTATCCTTAACTTGAGACTTTGTCATCATCGTCAATTGTCAACGCTCACGTGCCCATATACGCATATAATCGCTAGCCGTCGTTTAATTAGATTCTTAAATATGTAATAAGCAAAAATATGAATATATAATAATAGTTTTGTGTATATAATAATTATTATTTTTTTTTTTTTACTCACTTTAAGTATTTCGATAGGATCGTGATTATTTTAATTAATTAACAATGATTAAAAGAGTATAAGAATTTGTTATTCTCTTCTCCACCCGTCACCGCCTTCGTCTATCCTTCCCGCGCACGCCTCGCCTCATCTTTTTCCTCTCCTTCTTCCTTTAATAACTAATAACTCTTTAAGCTTAATGGCATGAAAATGCTCGTTGGAATTGACTCATGTGTACAATATATAAGTATATATTGTAATAATATCCCACCTCGCGCGCTCCGTATTTACGTCATTTTCTATTAAATCTCACAACCTGCTGTGAAACACACCCCGCGGGGAGAGGGTCGATATGGGTAATTGGCTCTCTCGCAGAAATTCGGCAATTCGAAGCCGGCAGCACCGGATGGTGTTTACGACACGCAGATATCGACACATAACTCCGCCGATAGATCTTGCACGGCGTAATCCCGTACTCGCCATTAGCTCCCGGATTTCTATCTGTCTGTCTATCTGTCTCCGTCTCCGTGTATCATCAGCGAGAGAACTGTCGCGCGCGTCGCCCGCGATCGCGGGGACCCGCGCGCCGGAGGACACGGTGGACACTTCACCTTCTCCGCTTCTCCTCGTCCCGTTGCGCGGAAATACTTTCTTGGATCACCATTAATTTATCACAATAGACGTTTGTCCTCTCGATCAAGACTTTGAACGCGGGACAACCGCGGCTTGTGTGCCGCCTCTCGCGCGCCGTGCAATCGCGCGCGCGCACGCGCGCGCGTCCGCAATCAACTACGCCCTTAATTAACCGCTAATTAAATTACGCTAGAGAATCTTTAAAAAAATCCCCTATCGGAGAGAGAAACGGTAGGTAGTTTTTTTTTTTGTAACAATGTGTAATCGACTAGCTTACGTCCTAAAAAGTATAACACTACGAAGTTGATTATACTGTGACTAGCACAGCCCGTGGATGAAGTTGCGCCCTTTGGACGAAGGGCTTGTTCATTTTTTTTTTCCTCTCTTTTCTCTCTACTTTTTTCTTACTCTTCTCCTTTCGCCTCTAGTAGCTACCTCGTTCGCGCACTCCCGCACTTCTCTCCTCGCTCTGCTTCTTTCGCCTCTTTTCGCTCGTTTTCTAAAATTTTCTAAAATCAAAGTGTAGTCTTTTTCTTTTTCGTACACTTCTCGCTTCTCAAGCAAAACGAATTTCGCACACGGAAGAGACCGCGTTCTGCCGCGTAATGAACGTCAATACTTTCGCATCTAATATGTACAATGGATTCTCGAGTAGCTACGCAATCGGTCGTGCTGAACGACGGGAAATGCGTAGATCCCACTTCGGAATCGCTTATTAAAATTTAACTACTGTCTCTCGTAAAAATATAAAAAAATGGACGCAGACAATAATACCGATCGAAAATCAGAAACCTAATCTCGCAAAAACATGTCGACATGTTAATTGTGTCCCGATTCGTACCGATTACTCGGACTTGCACCCTCATGTCTTCGAGTCTTATTCGTCGTTAAAAGGTATAATCCATTATCGCCGCTAGAGTCGATTTCACCGCCGCTTGGTATTCGCTCATTCAGTCATTAATCGACATTCATTAATATCATCAGTTAACGCCAAGATTTTACACTATGCGAATAAAAATATGAAACAAGTCCGCAGAACATCAAGCTCGGGCGCAAAGATTCACGCGCAGAAATTTAAGACAAGCTTTCTTCGAGGCTGTTCTCTCTTTTTCTTTCTCCTCCCAGATTCTGTGCTTCGTCGATTTGATCTTAGTCGCAGCTTCGCCTAAATCGAAAATTCGGAAGCGAAAATCGATGAAACGTTAAAAAAAAGTGGAAAATATTAATTGTGTTCTATGCAAGTGAAATTATATAGTGCACGTGATCGGTAGACAGTCACCACGACAAAAATAAATGTAACAATCTGTACAAGAATATTTCTTCGCAGGAAGTGGTAAGATTATGTAGATGTGAGCAATATAATATGTTGATGACACGAGTCAACGTTTTTGAGGCAAGGAAAGAAGCGTCAACTGATTGTTCTTATTTTCAAAGTGCTACTTGTTAATATAAAAATCATGATACTGAAATTTATTAATATAATTTTAATATTCTTATTTAAAAAAATATATATATGTTTAAAAAATATATATAGATACAGAGATTTAAAGTATACGTATGAATTACAACATAGAATGAACACGACATTCAACTTGCTATCACTTTCAGAACAGTAGGCGCACAATCAGTATTATTCTTTCTTCGTTCCAAAAAAAAAAAGATTTTGATATATGTCGACTAGCGTCATCAAAGAAGAATTACGTCTACAATCTACAAAGAGCCTCGTGCCGAGAGAGAAGTATTTTATTTCAAAGAGATCTACGGATCGGTGGAACTCGCCAGTGGCAAATTTGCGTACTATCTGTACCTACGAAAGCGACAACGATTTTGTGCGATTCAGCTCGATGCACACAAGAATTCGATAAAAGTCTCACGCCAACTTCGATTGCAAGGGTCGCAAGGAGTCGACGTGCGTAGCACGTCCGGACAAAAGCGGATGCCGCGTTCCTCGCCGCTTCAGGAGAGACACGACACGCTGGATATATCTTACACGTGAAGCGGAAGATAATGCATTTGTATTTTCTATAAGCATGCCTCGAGTCGATCGACCTCACACGAATGTTCTCAGCAAACCTATCCTGAGACAAGCTCGCTCGGTCTGATGCTCTACTCCGACGCTCGCTCGATGCCGATCGGAGAAGGGATGCGGGAAACGCGTAGAGAGAATGCAGCGGTGGTGTAAGATTACAAGCGAAACGAATGAGACGGTCGAGGGATGAAACGCGGTGCTCGAGTGTCAAACTCATGTGACAGAGTGTGAGGGGAGACAAAAGGGTAGAGAAACTGTGAGACAAGACTTTTAGGTGTAGGTATCGACAATCGGGTACGCAAATCAGAGACGCAGAGAACAAAGCGTATCATCCGTGTCTGGTACCCCTCTCTGGTAATTGTTGTGTAATGTAATTGTTGTCGTCGCTAACGACCTCGCGCACGAGATCGTAGGGGGAGGTGGGTGAGATGTATATACACCCTGAGAGCGAGACGCGACAGCTATTTTCTGGAGCGTCGCGTTCTCGCACGGGCGCTCTCACCACCGGCCGTGTTTACTTCGCCGCCGAACTCTCGTTGCCGCTCCGCGCGCCGCTGGACTGCTGCTGACAGTCGACTAGGTGATTCCCGGGCTGGCGGCAACTAGGCTGGCCCCTGGGCTAGATGAGAGCGAGCTTTGGAGGACAGCAGCCGCCCGTGAAGTGACCGCTGGCGGCCTCCCGCTCCCGCTTGCGACGGCCTTGGCGTTCTGCAGTCTGATTCAAGGGAGAAACGTACGATTTATACAAAACGCGCATACGAGCGCATCGTTCGCGCGAGAGAGTGCACACGTGACACACCGAATGGATCAAGCAGTACCGGTAATCACATGAGGCAAGCAAAACGCGTCCGAGTTCACCGGTCAACACTTCGTATCGACCTACGAACAAAATTAACACGAATTATTGTCATTTGAAATCACTTGATGTTCTCGTTGCGTATTAAAAATTCCATCGCAATATAAATCCATAAATATATCTACTTTTTAAAAATAAAAGTAATTAAAATGCATACGTTAAAATTATACCAAAATTATTTCGGTATTAATATATATATATATATATATATATATATATATATATATATATTATATATTTATGAATTAAATATTTTAGTTGAATGTTTGTCATTCAGTCAAATGAATATGAATGCTGAAAATAAAATATAAAATAATTCTGATTTTTCGAAAGAGTTTTAAATTATTCGCATAACATTTTGATTTCAAATTATTTATAGTAAAAGTAAACAGAATGCTAATCTCTCAATAAAGAATCACATAGAAATATGCATAACATTTGACGTATTCATGCATTAATTAACGGCAAAGTGATCATCGAGGAACTCGGCAGCTCTACGTCGTTAAGCGACACGGTTTCGTTGTACAAAAGACACAGAATATATACCGACGAGACATTCAAACAATAAACACGAAGCATTGTCAAACGTGATGTGAGGCACGACGCAACACCCGGTCTCGGTATATATATATATATATGTATATAGACATGTAACTCGTTAATTCTCGTGTCGTGAAACGGGGTGCAGTTCGAGGGAGACACGTAACGACAAAAGCGTTTAATTCCCTCCGGCGCAGGAAGAGACAGGAACGAGAGATATAAAACGAGCACTGTTTTGCCGAAAACGGTTGCCCTACTATGAGATCTCGTTTACTTACCGGTCGTGAATCGTCCCACGACAAGCTGCATTAGTGACACACAGAAGAGGGAGACTTTAGAACTTTTACACTTGTCTAGTTTTTGTTTATCTTTTTCGGTACGAAAAAGCCTTTCGTGTGCTAAACAAGAAATCTCTACTACGTAACTAATGTGCGTGCACATCGTTGCAACAGGAAATGCAGCACTGTACACACACACTGTACAGGGAATACTAACTTGATCTTGGATTGCCGCATAAACTGCTGGATCTTCCGCGCGGCCTGGTGGGCCGCCTGCTGATGGACCGCCTGCTGCCGCGTGCTAGCCGAACCCGGGCGCGAGCGATAATTTCGGTAGTTGTTCTGGATCACCAGAGCCGCCCTCGTGGCTTGCCTGCAACAAACAGTAGCTGTAAAGTCGGAACACTCTTCGACATAATTGGCATATATCATTGCGCGCGCGTGCACACACACACACACACACACACACACACATACACAAAAACCATACTAAAATTCATATTAAACTTTAACAAAAGTAATAAATGTCGTGCAAAAATTTTCAGAATGCACGAAATGAAATGCAAAAATGCAAACACAAATGAGAATAAATTGGTTCTCCACGAACGAAATTAAAATTCTTTTGTTACATTAATGTATTTCGGAGTTTGTTGCCCGATAAGTGATAGCCTGGGGTTGGCCGCGCGCCCGATATCTTTCATTACTTCTCGTAACTTGAGCTTCCGCGAGGATTTCACAATGATAATGTATAGTCAGCTGATTGTCACTAATTTCGGAGACATTACACCGAGAAGTTGAAATCGCTGCGAATATAACTCGACGGAGCCGCGGGGAGGAGCGAGGAACATCGGTTTCCATCTTCGACAAAAGTCGTATTAATTTAATGCCAACTTAATTCTGTATTCAGGCCACCGTAACGAAGTCCGGAAAGTTTCCGAATTATTTACGATGCCAATTAAAAGTTCGCCTCAAGAGAGGAAGAGAGAGAGAAAGAGAGAGAGAAAGAGAGGTACAACGAGTCGAACTTTGGTGGCATCAGTCTAATTCAGTCGGAGGTCGTTAAGTCGGCCCACAATGGTACGTCTTGTCCCCCGGTTATTAATTGTCGCTTATTAAGACCTCCCCCCCCCCCGCGACCAGCGGAATATCGATGGAAATTTAACTTTCCAAGTCGCGAGCAATTCGGCGATGTCTGCGCGATGCGAGATAATGATCTGTCATACTTAACAACCTTGAGTTCAACCTGATAACACGTGCCCGCATAAACTTAAACGATCTAAATGTCGCATGCATCGTATAAAGTAGTTAATAGCTATTACAGTCCGACAGCGAGTGATTAATCCCGTTCTTTCGCGGACTTTCGAAGGGAAAGAAGTTCGATGGCATGCGAAAACGGCGGGGGAAATGAAATGCCGAAACCAACTGCTCTCAATACGAAAGTGTAAAGATATATAATATAAACAAAAAAAAAAAAAAGATACGATACATTTCGGAAAATGGATTTGATGAGGGATGAAACACGTCTCGCAAGCGATGAGCAAGTTACCTGTGATAAGCGTACTGTTTGTGACGGCGATAGTACTGTTGAATGAGAACGGCGGCGTGTCTCTCGGCCTCCTCCTGCCTCTGACGACCCTTGTAGCTCCTGTAAGCCTTTTGGATCATCCTCGCGGCCTGATAGAGCTCCCTCTGCTCGCGATCGGACAGCGTTAGCCTGCTCAGATCCGCCTCGCCGCCGTCACCGTTGCCGTTCATCGCGGCCGAACCGATCATGCCGTTCAGCTTGCGCTCGCAGCCGTTCGGATAGTACCGGCCGTTGTGAGCGTTGCCGTTGCTGTCGAGCTGCAGCTGCAGCTGCAGAAACTCGCAGAAATCGGCCGTGGTGGGCGGCGGGGACGGCGAGTCCGGGGTCAGGCAGCTGCTGGAGGGACTCGAGGGACTGGCGTCGGCATCGGCATCCGAGACCGACGCCGCTCCGCCGCTGCAGTCGCGATACGAGTCGAACAGTTCGCCGGAGTCCAGAGGCTGTAAGCAGCGCAATTAGCATGTAAATTGAGTTTTATGACGCGACGCCTGGGAAACTCGAGCGTTCCATTCGCCGAAACCAACTACGCGCTCCAAGTTTCGCTCCTAATTGTGATTCTTGACTCGATCTACTAGTCTCGATTATTCCCTTGCTTGTATATCATTTGTACGGCTAAGAAGTTTGAACTTTTAATTAATTATTTCCAATGCTTTCGCGTACTCTCTTGATCGGTTAAATAAATCTTCATTGTCTACAGTATTTTACTAGAAAATATTTTTCACATTTAATCTAAGCTTTATGTGCAATTTTAGATAGTTATATATTATTTTTCACGATTTCCATACTTCTTTGCAATTATCTGTTGAAACACACTCACCATTTGCTCCATCAAGGCATCCTCCAAGGGTGACAGAGGCGCCGTGGGTGGTGGTGGCGATGAAGAAGACGGAGAATCACCCTCCGCCCTCTTGATCCTTTCCGGTAGCGCCGCTATAATTTGCTCTGCCAACGTCAGCACCCTCGCGTCTTCCTCCCCTATAAAAAGGAATCACCACCCTAGCCAAATTCGAAAAGCTCGCGGTGGAAGGCCGCCGAAATCACATCGATCACAACACCGAGGTTTTAAAAGCCGTGAGCGTGTTCTACGATGCACCGGGATGCTGTCAGGTAAAATGTTTAACACCAACAAGTGCGCCGCTACAACACAAATTTGACAGCTCGAGTCAGAGATAAGTTGCTTGGTGAACGCGACGCTTTCTCCTACTCGTTAGCAGTTGGATGATCTGGAACAACCAGCTGCGATACACGTCCACATTGGTCGGTCGAACAGATCTGTTCAATCGCTACACCGCCGTTTAAAGATCGCACACCGGATCCGGACAATTATCGCTCGAGAATAAGCTTTTGATAGCCGACGATAGATGATGGCTAAGGAAGTTTAGACGTAACACAACAATTCATCCAATATCAGCGGTAATGAAGGCCAAGCAACACCAATATTGTTCAAGCTGCAAGAGTTGAGAAGAGTTAGAGAAGGCAGCGGAGTCACCGACCGCAGACAGAGAGAAAAAGAGAACACTGTTGTACGCATGAACGTGTGTGTGTGTGTATGTGTAAAAAATGTGTATGTGTCTGTGGATGCTGCAAACGAGGGACGCAATGTTGTCTCAGCTAGGATCTCTACGGAATTCGCAGTCCAGTCGTGATTGTAGTCTAGGCCGATCCACTCTATCGGTAATGTGTCACAGAGAGAGATAGAGAGAGAGAGAACAGACAGAATTACGGATAGTTTTTTTTACAGACAGGCAGACAGACAGACAAATAGAAGAAGGAAACGAGGAAGGTACGGACCTACGGTCTCCTGAGGGGTCGGAGCGCTCTCCATTCCCTGTTCGCTGAGGCCTAACGACGACTCATCCTCTTGCAACAATTCCATGTTCTCCAGCAGCGGCGAGCCACCTGTGTGTTTTTCGATAAACCCCACTTAAATACTATATACGTTGCCTAATGTATTTTTACGCTCGCATAACTTACGGCCTTTTTGTGACTCTACGGCCATTACAAAGTAAGGGGAAAAGGGGAGAGAATATAGTGGCGCTGATAGGGGGACTACCGGCAAAGGGGGGAGAGAAGAAGTGTGAATTATTCAAGTGTGTAGATATACGTGAATGCGATGTGCGTGTATACGGAAGAGAGAGAGGGCAGTATAATAGCAAACGAGACTAACACAACGCCAGATCAAGCCCGCTGTCTTGAGATGGCCTCCTAGGGCTAGGGCTGGCGGGTCGCAAGAAGAGCCTCTCGTCTTGCCGTCGTGCTTCGAGCTGATTCAGTTCTTCGGCGATCGTCGTGTGGCCGTTCTCCGCGGCCAGCTCGGTCGCTGTTCTATTCTGACAGTCCCTCACGCGAAGCGCCATCGCGTTCCATCTACGGAGGTCAAATGAGCAGAATTAACAACAGACGCTTGTTAAAAATCGATTTAACGACGGGGTGCCGTTGCAAAAACCACATAATATTACGACGTAAAATAAATTATTGAATAAATACTCCTCTTATTCTCAATTATCTTAAGAATCTCGATAAACGCGGTAAAATTTAAGATTTAATAGAAATTATATTTTGTTACAAATTTGAATTTCTACAAACCTGTAAAGAATTCTAGCAGTGTCGGCGTGCCCCGCCGCGCAAGCCCAAGCGAGTGGCGTAAGGCCGGCGCTATCCTGCCTAAGAGCATCGACTTCGGCGTCCAAGATGCTACTAGGATTTTCCGCTCTCCAGTGAAGGAGTGCACAGGCTAACCTGGAGTATCCCAATCCGGCTGCCAGGTGTAGAAGGGTAGGCCCACCGGATTGAAGAGGTTCCGCTCCAGCTCGCCAAGGACGGACAACAGCATCCTGCAATATTCCACGAGTTTGTAACACAGTAAATTCTAATTGTCACTTGTCGCACAGCATTGCACAGTGAATCAGGAAGACTTTCGATTCAAGATTAATTTAATAATACCTGGCAATAAGCAACCAGTCGCTCTTCCAGATGAGCCGCTGGAGACGGGGGACCGGGTCCCTGCAGACGGGCCTCGACGTCTGCAAGACGGTCCAGCAGAGCTTTCTCTGGGCTAGGTTCGCTCGTCGGCGCTCTACGATATTCGAAGGCAACGCTATCGGACACGACAAAACCGTCGCAGGCCACCTGGAGGGACGCTATTCCTGGTGCGTGCGCGGGGCACCGACAACGCAATACACCTGGTTGCACGAGGCACGCCTCAACCGGTTCCGCGTCGAAAAGTACCGAATACGATTGGGAACCGCTACCGCCGGTCCACGGACCGGCAACTAATACCTGAAACGCAAATTAAATACAATATATTACGATATATTTGATTATACGTAATTTTATATTAAAAATTATTGATTTATCATTTATATTACAAATATTTTAATACATTAATTAACGAAACGTTCTCGAGCGTTGAATTTTAACAAACTGTATATATTCTGCGTTTCAATAATTGCGTTTAATTTTCGACTTTTTTATTTGACCTTTGTTACTTGATTTGTTTGTTTATCGTGAAAATCATTTACATTCATTTATTTTAATTAAACATATTGCGCGACTCTGTTTCTGTAATAAATATAATAATATCAGATATATCTGAAATAATTATTAATTTTGCGAATGTAAAAAAAAGTGGACCGCAGATATTTGATTCGCGTACCTTTACACCACCCTCGGTGTAACTCCACTCGGGACTATACTCTGCAATATGGACGGTTGTACCAGGATGACATCCGACGTCGCTCTCGGGACCACCACGCTGCTCCTCGTGCTTCGTCTGATCGGCCTCGAAGTCGTGCAGCTCCGGCAAATCGCCGAACACGTCGAACGCGTCGAGATTCACCAGCACGTCGTCCGACGAATCGATGAAGTCCATCGGATTGATCATGCTGTTGTCAGCCGGCGAGGGCGACGGCGACGGTGGCACCATGTTGGCCGACAGTGTCCTCTGAATGTCCTCCTGACTCAGATCCAGCGTCTCCGCGAAATCGGTCACCTCCGAGCCGGAACCGCCGATCGGCAGAGGCTGCACGGCGGATCTGTCTATGCTCTCCTGCGCGTCGAGCTCTTGTTGCGTTTGCTGCTCCCGATCGACGCTGGTCTGCGGCACGATCTGCTGCCCGGTGACCTGTTGCATCTCCACCTGCTGGCTCTGCTGTTGCTGCTGCTGCTGCTGTTGAGATTGCTGCTGCTGCTGCTGTTGCGTCTGCTGCTGCTGCTGCTGCGGCTGTTGTTGTTGCTGCTGCTGCTGCTGCTGCTGCTGCTGCTGCTGCTGTTGCTGCTGCTGCTGATGATGATATGGTTGACTGTTGAGTATCAGAAGACCGCCACCGCCTTGGATTTGTTGCAAACTTAAAACTAGAGGAGCCGGCTGTTGACTCTGAGTGGAATGGGAATGTCTTGAATACACGCGGGGAGCCGGAGCCGCTGTCGTCGACGGTTGCTGACCTCCCGTTGTCGAAGAGACCTATTTCGAACACAATAATTTCCACGTAATTGCATATACTCAAATTTATTTCGCCATTAGTGTTCATTTCAAACATTTTCTAAATTAAAAAAATCCCCGATTATTGTGAAATAATATCGATATATCACCTGATTGTCGGGCGTGAGTCTCCTAGGTGCGAGTTGAGTGTTGCTGGTGGTGGAAGTGGAGGATGCCCTCTGCCTGTCAAGCAATTGAGAGACTATCATGTCGACGGGATGGTTCGAATGCTGCGTGAGATGAGGACTGTTCGGATCGTCATCCCCGCCGAGGAACATGGGCCTTAATTGCGACGCCAGCTCGTCCCGCGTCCACTCCTTCTTGTCTGGCGGCAGCGCGAGACAGGGTGGCAGAGCCGCCAGCTTCGCATCACCGTCTGGATAAGGAACGTTCAGATAGTGGACGAGAACCACGTCCGGGTTCTGCAGCAGCCAGTAACACCGGCGATGAAACGTCGGGAGGATCGCCGAGTGCACGTAACAGCCGTAGATGCACTCGACTCCCTGGACCTGTGATCAGATTGACGCGCACATGACAGAATCCGGCCGGCACCATCGCGCAAATAATTTATTTAACTCATGCGAGAATCCGCGGCGTAAAATCTAACGAGAGGATAAGTTTAATAAGTTTCCAGGTTATTATTAATTTCTGTAATATCGCAACTTTTACTGTGCCATAACTTTTTTACAGTATTATAAACATTTCATATCTTTTCTGCTTTTAAAGTAGAGCTACCTTCAGTTTCATGTGATCTTCCCGTGTAGTCTTTCCGTCTTTTCTCTTCTTCCAGCAGTAACCGTCTCGCCGGTAGCGTACTTTCTTCCTCGAGTACAGTAACATCGAACCACTTCGTGGTCGCACTTTTACCTCCCGACTCTGCCATTCGGCGTGCCTTTGAAAGCTTATCAGGATGGCGGCGATTTCCTGAAAATAAAGGAACAAATGGCTACACACGACATACCTTGCAATATATATTTTTTTTTATTATTAGCATGCATGTGTACCGTCGTATGTATATCATATTTATATTTAATTTCGACACCCAATTTTATCCATCGCGTTAAAAATAAATCACACGAAGACACTAAAGCAAAATAAATTTGACGTAGTGACGTGCGGAATATATTTGAGATATTCCCGCTGACATTCGCCTTTCTTAAAGATTTGGCTTCAGTCCGGAGAAGTCAGCGCTGACATATCTCTGATCTATCTTCCAATCCGCGCTTTCATCTTTGGAGAAACGGAGTCGCAAACACGTTGAACGATGAATTCAGCGATATATTTGGGCGGGCATTGAAAACCGTGCTCTTCTAAAGAATTTTAATGTGACATGGGACAATATCTTTATGACTCGAGAGAGAAGAATGTTTTATTCATAGATGCATAGATGCATTAAAATAGTGTTTACAGATATTCAGATCAGTGCGACAATCTATTACGGTTCGATTATAAAGCAATTGCGTTAAATATTTATTCGTTGATTTTTCTTAAGCTAAGTACACGCTTTTTGTAAAAAAAAAAAGTAATGAGATGCAAATTGTATGGAAAGTAAGACTTGCACTATTTTCCAGACACAATCAACGAATCACAATAGTGAACTAATTATTCTTAATCGCGATTTCTTGAATGAAGTTTCGCGCTGGAGAATTCTCAATTTTCCGGCCATCAGATCAAAAATACTTAACATAATGAATAATTCAGTGAAAACACATACGTACGCGTCGACGTACTTGGCGTATGAAAAATGGAGAAACTGTCTTCGGGTCGGTTATCTTATTCGTATACTTTACATCGCACGCGTAATACGACTAGAAGAAGAGACGCGAAATGTGCATGTTTGCGCCATTGCGCATTTACACACCACCAACAATAACAGAGGTATTATTACGACTATTATTGATTTTTGCCGCCCCGAGGAACCGCCGAGGGGCAATTTTAAGCGAACAGCCCGATAGCACGGCGTTATTAAAGGAGGAAGTAACACGGAGGTTCTAACGTTTAAAAAAAACGCAATTACCGCGAGAACTTTTTGATGTCGCATATCACGATATTTCGCCTGTAATTGCCCCTGTCTTCCCCGCCCTCTTATCCTTCAACCGTACGTAACGAACGTGACACGCAACAATCGGCACTTAGCGAGTCCGCGCGATGCGCATAATCAGAGTCAAAATGCAAAATTCGCTTCTATAAATATTCGTAGTACGACATGCGATGTTTATCAGCAATTCAGGCTACTTGAAGACATAAAAGAAGCAAGGCAGAGTCAGCCTCTGTGAGCGGGGGAAAAAAAAAAAAATGCAACACCCAAAGGCGCGGTAAATAGGCAACTAGAGGCGCGCGCGACACGCGACCTAACGTGCAATAATGCAAATCGAACAATGCGCGCGGTCGATTTGACCGATCCAAAAGAATTTAATAATCAGCAGTAATGTACGAAGTGCCTTGTGATTAATCGCGATTACGGCAGAATTTTAAGTGAACGCGAAAAGAGTAAATGTAACGAGACGTGGAAAATAATTATGTGGCCGACGACATGAGAGATTGTATAAATTGTGTTACTATTTATGAATTAATAATTCTAAATTTTGATAATGCGGATCGTAATTGTCGAAAATTAAACTGTCGCGCGGCTCTGCAATTAAACCGAATGAAATTAAACGCGATATTTTCAGAAATATCGTGTGTCGACGCGGTGTTTGTTAAAACTTGTTGTTATTATAGAGTCGGCGCTGATGGCCGCGCGTAATAAATGCGCGCAATACCCGCGATATTCTAATCAAGGCGAGTTCGCCCTCGCCTTCGCTGGAAAAATAAAGGAGGAGTGCGCGGAGAGAGTGCACACCGTCTCGACGAACCGAAATATAATAACGTAATAAAGTGCTTTGCCTAAAAATTCTCTTCCGATTCAATTTCGCTGATTTGGCAGCGTGCCCCGTACATTTCTACGCGAGACTTATGGAACGGTACTAAATATGCATATCGGTAGGAATATGTATCGCGCTCCTCACGAAGGTTACTATCGTACGTCATTAGAGCTTTTGTCAGAAGCACCACCAGCCCGCCTTCGCGGCCGCTGTCTCACCCTCCACGTCCATTAAATTTCTTGGCCGTGATCTCGCGCCGAATTATATGAGATGTATCTGGGGCGCAATATTTTATATGGGACATCTTATAATTATCTCTGATACATTTCTCATATTTACTGCGCAAAGACGCAAAATGACCCAAAATCACAACACTCGTAATTCTAAAATTCGATACGTAACGATTTTGTATCGATGTACAAACTTGTATTTTCTTACGAATCTGTGTATCTATGCGGCTATGAATAACGCACTCGGGAGATGCGAATGGTAAATATCCCATTTCGACATTTATCACGTCGCCCAGAATGGCTGCGGCCGGCGTTTGTACGCGAGGCAGCATCCATCCGCCAAGTGCAAATTAAATTCCCGCGAGATTCTGTGGCTATCTTCCACGTGATATCGAGGATAACCCGAATACCACGCGACACACGACCGCATGTGATACGCCGGGGCCACGTATCTTGCGCGCATTTTGCAGTGACAGCGGCAGTATCCGATTGGGCCCGGTTTCTCAACCGAACCCACACGCCATGCATTTTAGATGAAGCATGACAGGATTGGATTTTCAAGTTAAATATAATCGCGTGGACTTCGCGCTAAAAACGTGCGAGTTCAGATTCACTGAGTTTCGCTCGAGTAAAATTGCACGATCGCGCTATTATCTCTTCTCGTATGATACAATCGCAATTTTTATCCTTTTATAACGTGATTTTTTGGAAATCTACAACAATTTACGCGAACACACGTTCTTGTTAAAGAGCATACGTGCTCGATGATGCTTCAGTATATATATTAACCGGAACAAAAGTCCTAATTACTAATCCAGAATATCCTTTTCGTTCCAAATATTAATCGCGAAAAAGCGACCGCGCGGCCAAGAATTCGTCGGAGGCTACTTAATACCTTCGTGCGCCCCTTGGGTATACCTTCAACTTTCGAAAGGTTCTCCGGCGGACGTGGCCTGGATAATAAATACCCTCGACGAGGAATGGCAAAAAGAGAAGCAAGGATAGCAGCGACCATACAAGGTGGTTTACATTGATGATGTAATATAAATGATAATAGCGTGCTAGCTAAATAATAATAGTAAGAGTGCCGTTATTATAGTAATATGTAAATGAGAAAATGGTACAATTAGTTACACGACACTAGTCGGACCTTTAATCCGCAAAGAATTGCAATTAATGAAGACACGTAGCGAAAGCGTAGTGTAAAATAACATTAAAATATGATATTAGCGTGAGCTGATGGATAAGAATATTTGGTTTTCATCGGAATAAAACATAAAGATAGAAACTCTTTTTTTTTCAGTCGTATTACTTATTGTGGGGCGCCTTATATAGCAGAATCAAGGAGAGCATATGAAAATAAGATAAAATACGATGCCGGCTCCACAACCATTAGACGGGCCGCGGGGCTAGATAAAGCTCCACCTCGCACGCCGTAGTGATTTACAGCTGGTTAATTGATCATTTGCATTTTAGCGAGGATGCTTCGTGCCGTCGCCGTTCGTTCCGACGGAGACCAAAACTCGCGACCTCGGCTTTACCGAGCATTCATGCATCCCTTCGCTATAAGTCCCCCCCACACGCCGTCACGTCCATTTGCTTGATTAATCGCGGAATGTGTCCGAGCAAAAATTGGGTTAAACCACACCAGGCGAGCTCCGTCACGAGTTCACGCACTTTGTAGATATGTCAATTAATCCTTCACGTCATATGTTATACAGCTGACGCCTACGCTGTTTGTCGAGATAATTTGTCAAAGTTATCTTCGTTATTTAAAAACATTGTGGATATATGCCATTTCTTAATTACAGCACAATATTTGTCAAATACATAATAACTCAAATTAAGATACTTGTGCTATGTATGCATATTACAAGTTAGAATCAGTTTGATGAAATAAAAACAAAAGAAAAACACAATTTCTTTCATCAATATCAAGCGCTAGTTTTTCCATTAATTACACAAGTTTTAAAAACTGTGAAATATGTTGTCATGTAATACTTTTATTTTATAATTTCTGTGACATTATCTAAATCTTTCAAAAACGTATAGCCATCCAAAAAACTAGACACGCTATTTTAATTGGCGTGCTGGTCGATAGCAACTGTTTTACGCGTTTATATTGTATCAAAAGCATTAATTTTATTTATTAATTTAATTTTATTCAATCAATTATCAATTAATTAATAACATTTCGCAAATAAATTATTAGAATAAATAATTCTGTGTAAATATTGACACTTGTATCGATTCTCGTGATGATTAAATTCTGTGTGTTTAATTTTTGATTCAAAACGGAGCCGGTCATATAATAATTCTCACTCGACTTACTAGTATTGCTCAGCTAGTGAGTTGATAGTAACAATAATAGTAGTAATAATTACGTAATAGTTTATGCACATCACACATAAAAGCGTATACATACGTATTGCATCTATTCATAAATAGTGCGCGTATGCTGAATTATCAAAATAATGTAATTTTGCAAAAAATTGACAGCAATATGCAACAAAAACGAATCTTTTATGTATATATACTGTAAAGTATAAAAAAATAGATGTAGAATAATTAGCAAATCACTGACTGTATATAATAAAACACAGAAAGATACATCTGTTCAGCAAACTGCATTTTGCTGAACATTACTTAGTAACGGAAAAGAAATTTGAAGGTACCAGATGTTTTTCAGCAACAATGTGCCTTATTTTTCTTCGAAATTTGTCTTCGCATAATGCTACTCGAGGAGCATGTGTCTCATTATTAATAAATTCCGAGATTCCTTGCAAATTCCTAGCGCACTTGTATATTTTTCTGTATTTTCGTGTGCACT